TCTTATCTCTTCTTATCTCCCAGCATCCTGTAAGGAGGGTAGAGAACATTGTTAACACCCTCTAAACACCTGAATCAGGATACAGCTCTGTTTGTCCTTGGATTCTGAAAGCCACCTAGGAGTTTGTCATTTTTCCCAGTCCCATTCTCCAGAAATTGGACTAGAAAAAGGACACATACCCACTCCCAAGAGACACTGACATTTAGAGTCTCATAACACTGCTGTTTTGTTTTCCTGTCATCCTAGGAAATCACTGTTTAATCCCAAGTGTGAGGTCTATTCTCTGAGACATATTACACTTTACCTTGGGTCTCCTCAGAATTTATACTTTTCAGACTATAAGGTAAGAATTGTCTTTACATTTCTCATTTCCTTTGTCTTACCTCTTCCATGGGAGAAGGGACCTGTATTAGCTTAAATTACACACTTTTTAAAAAATGGCTGTACATTGTTTCTTGGTTAATACTCAAAGATTTATCAAATCTAGACCTGGTACTAGATTTGAATTTAGCTATGTGACTTTCCAGAGTTCTACAACTTTCTAAGTTTCAATTCTAATAGTTGATATGTGCTGATAATGAAGTCTACATGGTCTATATTAATTGATGGTCATGAGAGGCAAGATAAAGCAGTAAATGCTTTGAAATTTGTTAAGAAATTTTGTAAATGAAAAGATTATTAGTGAGGATGAAGTTTATTAACTGTAAGTCATGCTTTAAAATATTTTGGCCATTTCATACATGTAAAATGTATTGTGATCATACTACCTTCCGTTGTTCAGTTGTCCTTGCTCATCCATTTCCAACTCTCCCCATCCTCTTGACTTTCTTCTTCCCAACTAGCCCTTGTCCTACCTCATATATATATGTATATATATATATATTATATTTATATATAAATGTTCTAAGCAGGCAGCCATAGTTGCTACATGTTTGTGATTATGTCAGCCATGCCATATCTACAAGACAGCCTTTCATAGCACACCTCTCTATCCTCCAGTTCTTACTGTCTTTCCTCTCTCTCCTCTGTGACGAATCCTGGGCCTTGGAGGGATTAATATAAATGTCTTGTTCAGAGATGAGTATTCAAAAGTGAGTTTTCCTCAGCAAGTCTGAAATAACAATTACCCTTTGCAAAAGAAATTTCTTTGACCCAGATTGAGAGCAGCACTAGTTGATTAGTGTATTTAGAAAGTAGTTTTACTACAGTTCCATTGGTAAAACCTCAGTAGTAAACTCTTCCTTAGGGCCTGTGACCTCCTTAGTCATAGGTATTTAACCAAGTTTGCAATACCAGATATATATTCCCTCCATGGACTGGGCCTCAAATACAGTCAGAAAGCTGTTGGTTAATCCTCAAAATATTCTTGCCACTATTATACCAGTGGGTACATCATATCTAGTAGGGCAAAATTATAGCATGTAAGGTCTATAGCTGGGAATGGTTGCTGGAGACTTTTCTTCCTAGCACCCTGCATGGCTTCTACTAGCACTATGAATGACAGCCAGTGCAGAGAAAGCTTCCAACTCGATTTCTCTGTGTTCTGTGTCCAGCAATGGGGACTTATCATCTAGTTCTGGTGGGTAGCCAAGAGCAATGACAGTAACTTTTATTATTTGCGGATCTGCTGGGACTCTGGTCAACAACTCATAGGGAAGTCCCCTCGTACATGGTGCTTGGATTGTTGTTTTAAAACCTACGCCTTCTGACAGCAGCATTTTCAACTCATACAGGACACCCATTTTCAGATTCTCTTTCCAGGTGATGGTTTTAGTTAGTTTACACAATATAGGCTCTCACATGTTGTTTCCACATATTCCTAGTTTTGGTCGACTCTCCTTATAACCTCCCCTTTCCCCTATTCTCCTACCCATATCCCCATTTATGCCTTTATACCTTATATCCCACACTTCCTTCTACTTTCAAATCATATAGTCTTTGCTCTACCCTCCCCATATACCCCCATGAATTCTGTCATGCCTATGGCCCAGTTGGATGGTGGGATTGGTGGAAAACTGGAAGAGGTATACTTTATAGTGTCTTTGATCATGTGTGTTTGGGTAATGTCATGATAGGATTTTTTTCCTTTGCTTCAAATTTCTTCCTTTCTATGGATCTCATTTCAGAATGTGGTCAGCAATATGCTTCACTAAGAATATGGCAAAACTAAAGAAGAAGGCCAACAATATGTCTGTTGTTGTGTGCTTTTGTTTTTGAAAAATCTTTGTGGAATTGAATTAACTTAGAAAATGGAAGAGAGGGGGGCTATGGAGCCACCATAAGGAAAACACAGTTTTTTGAGGGACACTGTGAATTCTTCCACCAATGCTCATGAATAGACAGCTGCTAGCCATAGCAACAGGTCAAATCCTTGGACATGGGCATAACTCTTAGAAAGAGTGCCAGTGCTCATGAATAGACAGCTGCTAGCCATAGCAACAGGTCAAGTCCTTGGACATGGCCATAACTCTTAGAAATAGTGGTAGAGGTCACCTCAACAGTGGAATATTTCAAAATTCCACACACCTTTATGAACTGCATCCAGGGTTCATCCTCATATCCAAGTTTCCTGGAAGAAGTAAATCTCATAAAAAGATGGCTGGGCATGGTAGAATACTGACATAGTGAAGAAGCTAAAACAATGCACAGAATCTGCAACAAGCACCTTCCCAAATCAAATACCTGTGTGCAACGATGATGGTAGGATGAATACCTGAATTTACCACCTGAATCCTGATAGGCTCTACCTAAGCTCCCAAGAACTGCACCATACATGAGAAAGTGTCCAAGGAGTTAAATTTCAGTGAAATCTTAGAAGATAAATATATAGTTATTGTATATCTATGTTTTAATATAAAATTCACATTTATAATGTGTCTTGAATTTATGAAAGTATTAACTTTATTTCTGGCATATGAGAGAAAAATTATAACTCACTAGAGGTTGTATATATAGGTTTTGAAAAGTGTCTTAAATAGTGGAAGAGCAAGCAGCAAAGTTGTTACCTTCCAAGATTTTGTACCATTTTTAGTAGCTAATGTTATCTTATGAATCCACCCAGTATTACATATTTGACTCCCTGATCCACTGACCAGCAGAATGACTTCTTTATTTAGAATGACAAACCCATTCTTGTAAAGCTAATTATTTCTGGGTGAACCAAAAGGTAAGACAAATGATTTCCTGACAACCTTTAAGCATACATCTCAGTTCTCTTGATGGCTTATTAGTCACTGTACAATATAAATGGCTCCTTTTCAATATAGCCAGCATCAAGCTTTTCTGATAAAAAGATAAGAATCAGGAAAACCCCATGGAAACCACATTTATATTTTTATTGCTATTATTTGAAAATATTTACAAATATGTGTTCCATACCACATTTAACATTCCTAATGTTTTGAGTCCAGTTTTGTATTACTAAATGTTTGAACTACTGAAGTTTTGCTAACTGCTTTATAGAATGAAGTATGGGTCTAACATCAAGGTCTAGATTTGAGTTATTGATGAGTTAATGTTTCAGTTATTGACTGGGCTCTAAAGGACCGAAATCCACTCTCTAATTGATCTTGTAACTAAACATATTAGCACCATTGCAATTAACCTATTTTATTATGATAAGGATAAACATACAAAAAATATTTGGAGAACAAATTTAATCTTTGTCTTGTAATTATATACTAGACATTAAATAATTTTATTAAAATATGTATAATGTTGAAGCATTAATATTGAGTACATAAACGATTGATTCACAAAATAGCAGAGCTATTAGAAGCTACCTATGAGTGTAGATTTCCCTCACAGACACTCTTAATCCATTCTTGACCCCACACACATACCACTTTTAATCTGGATATTGGTGTGTACATCTGGGAAGTGAAAAACTGAAAAAAAATAATGCATTTAATTCAAGCAAAACAAAATGTGCCGGCATAACTATTTATTAGAGAGTCAAAAAGGAGGTATTTACTTAACCCTGACTAATTGTCTGAATCACTATCTTACTACTCATTTTTCTCTTCACGTTTAGACCTGTATAATGACTAAATAAGCAAGGAACTGAAACCATTCCTTCAAAGCCTGAGCCTAAAATCTCTAATAGTGATGTACATCCCTTTAATAAGAACTGTATTTATCATATTTTATTAGAGTGCCTTAACCAGATAGATGATTCCATTTACTTGAATATGAAAATCATAAACCTTGAAAGTATATTACTTTCATTTATGAATTATTTTCATTGACCGTATAGTTCCAAGCAAGATTAACCACATAAATTAGAGACTTTGAAATTCATCATCTTACATAAAGAAACCATAGCTTCCATACCCTTAAAAATATCTAATTTTTAGTATGAATTTCCTAAAAGAACTAAAGATACCTTATCATTAAATAATTTTGTACATGCTTTTATAAATTCAAAGATCATTATTTGCATCTACATTTCCCAGAATCATTTCTTTAAAACTTTCACAATTTAGCTCTTATTGATATAGGTAACATTATAATTTGGAGTGAAAATAATAGGTTACCTTTAAAACTATGTTTGTGTTTTACTGCTAAGGATTATCATTTGCAATTTTAGAATTCTTATCAGAAAACATGTTGGTCGAAAAAAAAGAGTAGGTCACCACCGCATTTGTATGGTTGAAGGTGTACCTGATTGCTGACTACACAAATTGGAATAGGTATTAATCCAACAACAGTAAACACTGGTGATACACGGCAAATCAGAATGTCCAAATGAATAATTTACATTCCAGCTGAAATTTCCAAACTGAAATTTTCATCATTTTAAATCTCGTCATAAAGGCTGCTCTCTTGCCTCATGTACTTACAGTTTCTGACAGAGCTTTGTAAAACACATGAGCATACTCCATGGCTGGGGCTGAAAACAAGCGCTAGACATGGCTGGTGGAGGTCTTACTAGGCACTACCGCTTTCCTTTGGTGATCTTTTTGCTGCGGATGGCGAGCGGGGACTGGATATCTGTGCCATTACTTCTTTCTGTTGCAGTAGCAGAATCCACAGAGCAGTCCCCCTCCAATGAAGAGGACAGCAGCAGTCGCCCAGCCAAGGAAAAGGGCCCCTCCCAATTCCCGCTTCTGACCTATGTGGACCGCTGGGTTGTAGAAATCCCTGATGATGATATTGGCGGTCCAGCTCACAGGGATCAGAACGAAGATGCCTGTCAGGATAAAGAGGACTCCAGAAGTTCCCAGAAGGTAGGCTTTGACCCTCTCGCTGGAGCCAGTGCACTGGATCTGCTTCATGCCGCAGATGCCGATCAGTAGAGCAATCAAGGAGAGAACGACAGCCACACACATGAGTGCACGAGCTGCTTCTAGGACAGGCGGGAGAGACAGTATGGAGTTATAGAACTTGCACTGCAGCGTGACCCTGGCTTGTTGGATGCAATTCATCCAGAGCCCTTCCCAGAGCCTCTCAAAGACAATAATGTTGCTGCCAATGAAAGCTGATACTCTCCACTGCGGCAGAAGGGTGGTGGCAAGGGTCCCAACCATACCAAAGAATCCAAGAACCAGCCCAGCAATCTGAACGGGATAAAAAGCCATTGTCTTTCCTTTGCAGACTGATCAAACCTGAAAGGGCAGAAGATGCCCAAGATGTAGAATGTTGGTCTTTTGGAGCCTAGAGCAGCCTCTGGTGCTCTCTGGAGAGCAGTCTCTGATGTTGGCCGCTCCTGCGTCCCATGATGTGTTGGTCCAAATGAGCGGCAGTGACTGAACTTGGCTTAACTAGAAGTACCTGTTGTAAATACAGGCATGCTGTCTTTGCACACACACCTTCATTTCGGTATGGTTTATTCACTAGGCACATATAATTCTTTCCCAACCAATAAGAAGGTAGCCAAAGGTGTGTCAAGAGATAATGCATAAAACTTTAGTGTTTCTCATATTATTATTGTCTTAGCAATGCTGTGATTAAGTGCCAAAGCTTCCATTGTAGATTGCTAATTACAGAGCTGAAAACTTCCTCTCTAAATGTCAGTCTGATGTGAAAGTATAAATATATGTGTTAAGTCACAACTTGAAGATAATGTCAAAACCCTGCCAGTTCTGTGGAGAGAAACTGAAAATCATTCTGGTTTTAAACTAGGCAATACTCTCTTCTTGTGCAAAGCTACTCTTCTTAACATCATGAATCAACTCTGACTTCGTTAGTAAAGACTTCTGATGGCAATGTTTACGTATTAGCATCAGGACTTTTACAGAAACTACTAATGCTTAGGAGGAGCCTTAAGAATGAGATTTAAAGTCACAATTTGTTCTTCAGATTCTGAAAGGAAGAACCAAGAAGAGTTCTCCTTGTAATTGATTTGACTATCCTAATAATTATTCTGTTAACTGTTAAGTGATGCCTCTCCCTCTGTTGAAAGATGGTTAGCATGTAGTAACTTTCATTACCTGTTTCTGCAAGGACAGCTGGAAGCACAGCACATTTATGGAAAATGAAAGTCTACACTTCACTTTTTAGAAAAAATATAAAGTAGTCCTTTGAATTGGCTGTAAAACTGTTCAAAATTAAGACGATAGACAGCTTTTCAGAGTCAGAAGGTGTCTTTGGGCTTTGTAGGTTCCATCTCTCATCTAATAGAGTCAGGCTATGAGATCTACAGCATGCTTGATAGAGGACAGCTGTATGGTATCATGTCAGAAGACAAATCCAGGACTCTCGTATTCACTGTTTTCCTTTCCTGCATTTAGTTTGATCAAGAGTAGAAGAGAGAAAAACTTGTGGTAAATGCTTTCATATGAACACTAATAATTCTGAAATTTGGTACCATCCCTTCCACATCTTTTCCAATTGTTTTCAATGCAAGAAAATTCAGTCGAGTTTGTTTTCAAAGTCATGAGTGATTTCAGCATTCTGGACTGTTTTTTTCCCTGGGTGTTAAGGAAGGGAACATTGATCTTTGTGGCAATCCACTTTAATCAAATGCAAGCATGCCAGGCAATCTATCTGGGAGATATTGCAGTATGTGTGCAAATGGTCTTCAATGTCAGTGAAATATAGGCCAAAGAATGAACAGATAGCACAACGCTATCAGGTTTCAAGGGTCTATTAATTGCATTAAGAAATAGGAAAACAATTGGGTTTGCAAGATGAATGATCTGAGAACTCCCTCCTGAAAGTGTGAGTCACTGAGGCAGCAGATGATCTGTGTGTAGGTGACAGCTTCCTATCACCAGTTCATGATGAAGGGTTTTGGGGGCCTTTGTTCTGGTTTCTGAGACACACGTTTAACCTTTCCCACCCTGCCAGGATTGGCCAAGAACACTCTGACTTACAACTTCCAGCTCCTCTTCCTTGTTCAACTTGTTCTTCCTCATTCCATCTCATTTTTTCGTCCCATCTTCATTTTGTCCTGGAAGTTTCCAGAGTGTTGTTCTTTTCCACCTGTTTGGTTTTCCCCTTGTGCGAGCATTTGGCCTGTCTTTAAGTAAACAGAAATAGAAGCATATGCTTGCTTAGAACAGAGAGCTGTGTCCTGAATACAAGAATAATCTGAGAAACATAAACAACCTGGGATGTTCTGGCTTTTGATCTTCACAGCCGACTACATTTTCATGCTGCCTTTACTTTCTTCCTTTATATTCAGGAGGAGGAACTGCTTTCCCTGCAACTGCGCTGAAGTCCTGTAACCTCCTACTTACGCTGGAGACCTTGTTCCACCTTGATTCCCTCTCTTCGTTGTAGCTACCCTCTTTCCTGCTTTCGAAGTTGTCCTTGGAAAATAAACATATTCAAATCTCTCTTGCTTTAAAATACTGCACCTGTATTTCTGGTCATGTATTAGTATACATCTTTTGACCTACTTTCATTTTTTTCCTCATTTGCACATTTAAGTCCAACTCTTGTCACTAAAGCCTTGACAGCCTAGAAATCAGACAGACTACCTGGACACCCCAGCTACTTTCTCCAGTGAACACTTCCATAGTTTTTCTTTCTGGGTCCTTCTGTAAAGGTGGACATCAATGGCGGTCTTCCTACAAAGCAGTAAAGAACATCTCTTTTGGGAGAGATTCTGTCTTTTGATACTTCAGTTTGTCCATCTTGAGTGGAGTTTTGAGCTTCTTAACATTTCTAGTTTACACAATTATCACCATAATTATAACACCACCAATTTCATAAGGCTCCTTTGGAGATGAAATTTTTAGAATGTGTGCAAAGTATCTGTCCTCAGGCAATCACAAAGAAAGGTTTTCCATTAATTTTCATTTATCTGCTTTCCTTATATTATCAGACATGCTACTTCCCTTTCTGTTCATTCTCAGTCTCTCCTTTTCTAGAGGTATGATTAACCACCTCTGTTTTGGGGAGGTTTCACGTATATCTCAATATTCCTGTCACCCACATAATCTTTCTGTGGAGAATCATGCCTGACTACTATTTCTTCTGCTCTGGCTTCTAAGTTCTAAAGCTCTGATCTTCAGCTTCATAGTCTTTCTGCCTATCATTCTCATCCCATTGCCTCTCAGCTCTTTGATGAGTAGGAGACTAGGGGAGACTCTGTGATAGTCTACTGAGGTGTCCCATCTACCTGCTGGAAGGGCTATAACAAAACACCCTGAGGTTGTCAGCCTGAAGACACCCAAGTCATTCTCCATTCCTGTGGGAAGAAAATATCCAGTGACTAACCAGCCATGGGATGTCGAGGGCCAGCCTGACAGCTCCAACCAGGGCTTTAGTCTGAGGGGATAGTCCAGCTCTGGAGATTACTATAAATCAGCTGGGGCCTTCATGGTATCTGTATCACAACTTTGCTTTTCTTGTGTTCAAGTTTCTTCCTTCCCTTCTTTTTCTGAAATATTGAGTCTATAGGACACATAATGCACTAATCTCTGTTGGGTATTCAGCTTCCTATGGAGCCCAACCATGGACTGACACCTTGTTCTAATTTATAGATTATGTTTCCTGTTTTATCATGGCATGGCTTAAATTTAGACCTTCAACTTTCTGTTCTGAGTCATTTCAACGAGGTATGTTTAGTCTCTTTTGGTCTCAAATATTTCTGGACTATATTACATGAAAAATCATAAAGATTTGCTAAGCTCAAATTGAAATTTCTACTTCATTTCACTTCAGACTTCCAGTAGTTTTCCACAGGTCCCCAAGTTAAAATGCAAATATCTTGACATGACCACAGTCATTATGCCTGCCCAACTTTAAACCTTGGTTTATGGCATGACTCAATTCCGTATCCTTCCTTACAGAGCTTAAATTTTAGACAATAGAAAAATGTTAAACAAGAAATTATACTACTCATACCTTTATGGAGAAAAGGATAAAGAAAATATAAACAAAATTGACTTTGACTTTAATTGTAGGATAAAGGAAACTTGGGTAAGAACTAGCCAGACAATTAAAGAGTGATAAAAGCAGGCAACCCAGTGTGGGTAAAGCACTGAGGCAAAGAGTAGCTTAAATCTAATTTAGAAGAAAGCACTGGAGCCTGGCTTGGTGGCTCATTCCTTTAATTCCAGCACTTGGGAGGAAGAGACAGGCAAATCTCTGTGATACTGAGGCTAGCCTGGTCTACATAGTGAGTCCTAGGCCACCTTTGGCTACAAAGAGACCCTGTGTCAGAAAGTAAAAGAGGAAATGAGATTTGAGACTGGACATATAGGCTATATATATATATACACATATATATATACATATACACACACACACACACACACACACGACTGATTTAATAATCTAGGGTCAATACAAAGCCAGTTAAGGATTTTAAGCATGAAACCTACACTAACAATTTTCAAGTCCACATTGAAATAGCAAAAAGGAAATCACTAATCACCAAATCAATATGGCTACTTTGAGAGACTAGAGACACAGGGAACTTGAAGGAACTGGAGCCATTTAGAAGGTTCCTCCAGGAGTTCAGACAAGCAGGCAAGAGGTCTGGGTTAGAGTAGCAGTGAATGAGGATGACAGACAGACTTTATGTCCAGAAAATGCAACTGCTGAAGGTTAGTGAGAGATTTGAGGTGGAGAAAGGAGGTAGAGATAACTCCTTTATGACCAGCATGAGCCTAAGTTCCCACCTGGGTGTATTTATCAAGGTGTGAGTCACTGAAGGACAAATTCTCCTTTAGAGACAAGATCAGGAGTTCAGTTTACAAATTTGTGCCCATAAGAACAGCCTGGACTATATTCATGTGAAGATTCTAACTGTCCCATCTGCAAATGAGCTATTAGAAGACTACAGCTTTTAAAAGGAATCCAGCAATATAAATGGCTGACTTATTTCCTGATTATGCCACCTTGAGCTCATACTGAGTTCTTAAAAACAACTAAAATTACTTTGAAGACTTTTTGACTTCCTCTGTGGAAACGTTTCAGCTTTACCTGCAGCATCAACTTCAAGTGATTAGGAGTGGAGGCATGCCAACAAATGGGAAAAGTGGACAACTGAAAACATCTCTTCCTTTTCCAGATCTCTGCCCCTGAAATGTTGTTTCCTAATGTAATGTATGCCTATTTTAAGAGATATGACCTGTCTTCCTCAGTGACTAATTCACATTTAAAAAGTGTCAGTGAGTCAAAA